AGTTTTGTTGCCAAAAGAAGTTGTGAGATTTGATTTGTTTATGATTACGTGCACCTGAAATATGGTATGATGGACCAAAGTTGCTATATTAAAGGAAAGTATTACTTATTTGGAGGTCTGGCACTAAGTAGTGACTGCTGAGATGGGAGAACAATTGAGATTCTTTGCATATTGAAAGGCACCAGAATTGCACTGTATTTCCCCTTTCCTGTCCTCAGCATCATCACCAGTAAATCCACAGGAATAAAGAGCTTTGTGTGGTCCTTCTACATTTTTCGTTGGCCCCTGCTGATGTAAATCAAACATACTGTCCTCCTGTTATCTTCAGGTTTAAAAAACCTATTTTTAATCACTTCATACAGGTATCTAATTTGAATCAGCCTGCCACACTGCAGGACTCTTGAGCTTTTTTAATTGGCATCTCTCTCATTACATTTGCACAAAGTTGCAGAGACACTGCAGGACACCAGTAGAGACATGTGAATCACCAATCCTGTTGGGCTGGCAACAAGATGGTGTGATACACCAGGGGAATCTCAGAGACCCGTGGATGTGGTTAAGGGGACAGAGTGGAAGCAATCAAGTTCAGACATGTTGCTGTGACTGTTTCTAGATCCTGCCTATACCATCTGAAACAGAACTGTCATGGAAGCTTGCCTGGGATTTTTAACAGCAGTATGCTGTTAAACCAGCCTGGTTTCTAGGAACAGTTCCTGGGATTCTGGTAATGCAGAGCACCCTGAAGGTTTTAATGGAAATGTCATAGGGCAAATATGTGAAGTACATCAAAACCAGTGTTTTAGCCCATCACAGGGATAGGCAAGGCACCCAACCAGTTCATGGAGTCTGTCTTACTTAAATTTCTTCATCATTTGAAAATCAACCCTTAGGTATCTGCTAAGAGGCTATTTTTTTTTTTTTTCCTGAAGGAAGTAGCTCTTATCCTCAGACATGTTTACATGATGCTGTGACTCCTTTTCCAGTTTTGGCTGCCAACAAGATATGTCTAAACTTAGCATGTTGGTGCGCCTGGAGACATGAAGTGGAGAGGAGAGACTAAAGCAGTCTAGAATATGTTATTTGGCACTGAAGAACCTTCCTTCCCTCTCAGTCCGTCATCAAGAATCTTGTCATTTGCAACAAAGTCTTTCACAGTTCTGGTGGGCACTCTGGTTTTCCCTATCTTCCCCTTGCTCCTGCAAATCAGGGCTCTGCAGCTCTCTGGCAGAACTGGAGATGGGTGCTCCAGCTGCACCAAACATGCCAATCTTTCACCGGCCTTTATGGTGCTAGTAATTTTTTTTCATTCTTTTGGAGGCTTTGCTAGAGGGGTTAGGGCTCTTTTGCTTCCTTAATGACCGTTGCTAGAAACTAACTCTGAACTGAGCAGATAAGTTTGCAGAAAAAGAAAAGCAGGAGTATCGTCTACCAGGTAGACCAGCATTGCTTGTTCTTGCATTCAGGATGGATAATGCAGCATTTTACTGAGCCAGCCAGGAGCCCTCTGTTCCAGCCTCTTTCTCGGGGGGTGACACCATGTGTGGCTTAACCAAAATTTGATGTCTGTGCCATGGGAAATGTATGATCCTGGCACATGACAAGGCTTGCTTGCCTGTTGTGCTGCATGGCCAGGCCATGTGACTGCCATGCAGGCCCTCACTGTCACACAGCAGCTCTGTGTCCAGTCCTGTGACAGGGCTGAAAGCTGCCAGCAGCCACACGTTCTCCTTCTGCTTCATGCAAATGATCCAAGGGCATAGCCATTGACCTCCTCATATAATGGAGAGGAGAAATTGCAGGCCCACAGGAGTGTGGTGTCGTGGTGAGCAAGCTTTCATTGAGTATTCTGAATCAAGCAAATAGGCAGTTTTATGTTGGCAAAACATTAAATCAGAATTCTCCATTCAAACCACACCTCTCAGGATTTTTTAAAAATGGTTTAGATGGACTAAATGATTAATAAGACAACCCAGAATTAAGCCATAGATGGTTAGGATCTAAGTCTAAAAAAGACTTTCAGGCAAGAAACCAGTTGTGCAAATCACATCCTGTGGGTTTTTTCATTCAGGTCAAACGTATATTTGGATTTTATTAAGATTATGGTTAATTTGATTAATTTCTGATTGAAGGCCAAAACTAGCTTTAGTTGGAATCTACTCCATATTTGCTTTCCAACAGTCTTGAGGTTTGGATGTGTTTGGTTTAGTTCTATAGTTCTATGAGTACACAAACCCCATACGACTTTGGAAGGGGTGGCTTTGGGCTCCAGTTTGGGTCTGGCCCTAAGCATTGTTCTAAGTGAGTGGAACTGGGCTCAGTTCTAGTGTTCTTACTGAGATTCAGACTTGCTCAAAACATGAGGAAATTTGGCCTGTTACCCTGGCTCAGATGCATATATGACATCTCTAGAAAGTTAGAGAAAAGTTAAGGATCTAGGTGCCTTCCAACTTACAGGTTTTGGATCTGGATCAATTGCAAGTCTGAACATTTTTCAAACTGTAGTGTTCCTGACTCAGTACGCCAATTTCAATCTGAATGTCTTACATTTGAAGGATTCAAGTGTGTTTTTTTATGCAAAGTTGGTACATTTTAAATATCTCTTCAGATTTTTATGTGGATTGGTAGGACAAAGGAATTAATGTTAGTTGGGGTCATATATTCCAGGCTGCTAAGAACTTCTCACATCTGATATCCTCATTTTGGTGTAGACCTGTTTTTTAAATTTTAAATTTCAGAGACTATTCCTATTATTTGAACTGAATATGAGGATATGAAAACTTGTGATTTTCATCAGCTGGCTTTGATACAAGTCCCCTTGACAAAGAATTTATTTTTTTCCCATAATATTTGCCATCGTAAAACTCTGAGAGATGCCAGGCTGAGATGGGAAGGCTCTTCACATATTTACAGTACCATCTACTCATGGAACTACAGTTGAGTCTGTTTCACAGATGGAAAAACTGAGGCAATGACTGCTCAATTGGTACTTACACAGCCAGATCGAGTTACCACAGTTAGAAGCAAAGTCTACAAATGCCCCTTCTGCTTTCCTGACCTTACATACCCTTCAATAAGGTGATTATGGTCATAAAGTCCAGAGAAGAAAATATGTAATATAACTAAATTTTTGTAATATATATTTAGAGTAACCTGGAGAGCTGCCTCTACATATGCCAGGTGTGTACATAGCTAAATATTACAGAAGGAGTTGAACTAAGTCATCTATTAGAGCTTTTTACTCTTCATATTTTACCCTAAGGTAAGAGAGGCTGTGTTTTGACAAAAAACTAATGAAAATTAACCTTTTGAAATAAATTACTTAATCCTTCTGTATTTACTGTACATCTGGATAAAACCAGATTGTTTATAAGCGAAATACAAAAATGTGTACCAGTGAACAAAACTAATCAAATTCACCAGTCACCAGGCTGGTTAATATTATAAAGACTCTGTGAATCATGAATATCCAGCCAGCCTGAGGGTACAAATCCATGAATCTAGGGAGTTTACCTGTCTCTTTTAGTCAGCAGACTATCCCTTTTCCATCACTACAATTTAGGCATATATTGCCTAATAATAAATGTGATAATAAAAATGTAGTTTGGGAAGCAGGATGTTGTAATAGAGCTTTAGATCAAAAGTGAGATTCATTTTACTTAATTTAGCCAACTACAAGCTAGCTGCTTAGCCTAATCTAGTTGTGTAGGCTCCCTCTTTAGTGGGGAGACAGAGAAAACTGGGATGAATTGCATTTGGGAGGTGCCTGTCTCTCCACTGACAATAGAGGGAGCCTACTCAACTGGCTTAGACAGGACACTTAACTTTTAGGTGGGTATGAGTTACTCCAGGAAAAGTCTGTTTTGCTTCAGGAGATTTGAGTTCTCATCTGTTTTTCTACTGATTTACAGCATAACCTTGGTAATATCACTTAATTTTTTTTTTTGAACCTAATATCTCTGTCTAAAAAATACCCTATGGATAAAGTTCTTGGAGAGCATTTGCCAAGGATGAAATACAGGTGCAAAATGTTTTTTTTCCCTGGTCTTCCTTTTTTGACATGTCTGTAGTTGTCATTAAAATAAACAGAATTTTTGTGAAAGCATAAGTTTATGCGTGCTGAGAAGCAGAGCTGAGTGAAAATTATTTTAGAAGCAGCATACATCTTCTTCAGATGTGACAGAATATTGTAAAAATAAAAATATAGTAACTAGTTCCATGTATTGTTTCTCCTGTCTTTGCTTCTCCTTTGCACCTTCCACCACTCATCCGTCCCCTCTCCTCCCCCCAGCAAAAATACATAGGGAGTGGGGAGAACATTCTTCAGATTAGACCTGTATTTTAAATAACCTTGGCCTGTTTGCAACTGGGAAAATGTTTTTTTACTTGAGAGATTTATTTCTGTCCTTGTAACACCATGTACTATATGCATTGCACCTGTTCAGACATAAGCACAGCACATTATTATAGCTGTAGGGGCAGAAGCTTCCCAATATATATTTTTTGAAAGGAGGGAATGCTGGGGAGAATAGCCCTCTCTTTTCAATTGTTTACTGAGCAGTCTCTTAGGAAGACTTCTTCCTCATCAGGATCAATTTTCCCTGCTCCCCTATTGTCTGGGGAAACCTATCTCCAGGAGCGTCTTTCTTGAAAGATCTCATGACTTTAAAATCATCAGTGGGCTTTGTGTAGTCTGCCTGTCAAAAGAGATATGTTTACACCTTCCCTGCATGTGTTAGAGCTATAAGGTTACGGAGCAGAATGGCTGATACGTTTCGGCGCTCCATGCTAATATGCACAAAAAATGTATTTATGATAATCATATGGACTGTCTGAAACAATGCATTCCAACATCCTGTAACATAAATAAGAAAGGTGGAGCCAGCCGGCACCGAAGTGTTTATTTGCCAGCAATCCTGCTCAGCCCCGTATACCTTTGCTAGGCTGCCTCAGCCTGGCGGTATTGAACCTGTTGCTGCATTAGCCGAGTTGTATTTTGCTAGATAGGGGAAGGAGGGTTGTCTGCTGTCTGGTAGGAGGGCTTTGTCTGTGTGCGCCTTTCTCTCTCTCCCTCTCTCGCTCTCCCTGTCTCTCGCACTCTCGCTCGCTCTCGCTCGCTCTCTCTCGCTCGCTCTCCCTTTCCCGTCTCTGTGGTTTGTAAGGTAGGTTGCAGTGTGTGTATATACACAACATCAAGAGCAGGAAAATGGACTCATTAGGGAGGCAGGCAGTCATTACCACTCACACTGTACTTCCAGGGAGACAGCGACTATGAGGAGACAAACTGAGGACTGGGGAACAAGGTAGGCCAGTCAACTTTTATAAAACATAAAAGAATAAAGCCTCTACTCTCCTTAAACCACCACCAATTCTTTATTTCCCCCCCCCCGCCCCCCCCTCGATTTTTAATTTAGAGATGTAAGTTTGCCAGACCTATTTGCTAGCTTAAAATTCGGAACATCTATAGAAGGCCTTACCCTCTACAAATGTTCCCCCCCCGACTTATTTAAGGGTGTGCCCCCTTATGATTCACTTTAATTACTTTTTTTTTTATCATGAAGGAAACAAATACGTTTGTTTTCCAACACTAGTTCCAAGTAAATCAATATCTTTCACTCTTTTAAAACAGCTCTCTCCGTATGTTTGTGGGTCTCTCTGCTTTTTCTTTTCTGTTTATGCAGTTCCATCTGTCCGTCCATATATCATGTTTTCCTTATTTACTGCTAAATGGGGGTTTATTAGTCATTTGCCAATGACTTTAAACTGTAATGCCGGTGGCCAGGGTTAACGGGGACTCTCGTTCTTTGTTTTCTATATATATGCACACTGCAAGTTTAAAGTCCATGCCTGGCATACAGTAAATAAAAGCAAAAAAAGAGAAAGCAGGTTCCACTCTTTCTGACAGGATTTTTATTCAGACATTTTGCTATTTATCTGTTTTGGTGTGGGGGCAGAGTGGGTTAATTTTGGTTATTGTACATGTACCTTTTCCTCCTGGATATTTTTAACATCTATTTTTCATTATTAGTGTTTTTGCAGTTTCCTTTGCTAGGAAGAAAGGAGACATACATTCTAACTTTTATGTTGCTGATCTAATGTAACATTATGGAGGCATCACTGGGTTAATATGAATTCAAACTTTCTAAGAGGGAGTTTGTATCCTTGGCTGCCCCCCACCCTCCCACTTTATGCATGGTTATGCTTGTGTTTCCGTGTGTACTGACAGGGAAGGGAGGGGGGAAGGGAATAGATATTTTTTACAGTGGTGGCAAATTATGAAATCTATCGAGCCATTTTGTCCAGAAATAGTAACTATTTATTTACCATTTTTCATTCCAAAAATATGCTGCTTATTTGTATTTTCAAACATCGAAGCTTTTCTGTGAATTGATTTTTTTTTTTACTTCTTTTTTTTTTTTTTTCTGGGGAGGGATTTGTGAATGCATTTCATAGCCCATTTAGCATTGTCGAGTTTTTGGAGACCAGATTTATCATGGGTTCTAAAGACTGCTTAAACTGATCCATTTGAAATGGTCTTTTTATCTGAGCTCTTGTCATTTCTGTTGGAGAGTAAAACTGCTACTCTGTTGGTAACAAAAAAAAAAGAAAAAAAGAAAAGAAAAAAGAGAAGGGATAGTGGAAGTGAGTTACATAAAGTGTTCTGGAGAATCCTAAGTAATTATATAAAATGGACGCTGATCGCTGGAGATCTCTGAACACTAACAATCACCTTTTTTAATAGAAAATTATTTATTTAATAGCAAGAGGCGGACTTCTTCAAAACATGCATTAGGCCTTCCTTTTAGCACAAAGAAGTCCATAATGCAATATTCCTAACCCACCTGAGACTGCCTAGGAGATTCTCCAACCTTCAAATCCTTTGAAATGTTTCTTAAAAATCCATTATTTTGCAGCCAGAAAGAACTTTTGCTGCCAACAGGTTTTTTTGCTGCTGTTTGGTGGTTTTTTTTAGCTGTCCTTTAAGTTACGAGTCCCCATTTCTACAGAAGTGCCTCCTCGCTGAACAAACTAAGTTAATTGAAATCCAAAGCAGGAGATCTATTCACTGGCACTGTAACTACAGAAACTACTTGCTCCATTTTATTAGCAGCTTTTCCAGAACATAAGTGAAACTTTTCAAGGCTTTATATATCAGTGTGCCAAAATTTGGTGGCTTTTCTCTTAGCTGGGGAGGGACATTTATTGTTTACTTTTTTTTTCCTCCTTATTTTCATTCAAACTTTTAAATTAATATTTTGTTGATAGACTTTTAATATGTATGTTGCTCTAAATGACCTGTTAACTGTAGCAAGGTATTTCCTCCTCTCCTGAAGTTTGAATCTCAGGCTTTGAAAACTCAGATTGGTCGTAGAGGGGATGCTAAAGTTATGCCAAAAGCAATGTAGAGGTCTTAAAGGTGGATTTGCTGGTGCCTCTGGATGGTGTTCAGCCTGGAGTGGGGCAGCAGGAGTGTTTGCAGCTGTCCTGCTCGTGGTGGGATGGGTGAGGGGTTGGCAGGCACCTGTCATTTTCTCCTGCACCAGTGCAGGTGTAAGTTCCTCTACAGCCCAGGTGTTTTGTGGGGGAGCACGTGGACCTGTCCTCAGGTCCTTGTGCACGTACTTTTAGCAAAAGCCCAGGCTCATCTGAACATTTTGAAAAACTTTAAAAATTACTATGAGATACTGCTTGATTTTATAAAAAGTCCAGGCCAGAAGAATTCAAGCAGAGGAAGAGAGTCACAATAGCAGAAACATTTTTTTCATTATCCGGTATGATTTCTTTCTTATAGTAAAATCTTTTTCACTAGGAAGATGTAATTTTTCTTTAGCCCCAACTATATTCTATCAAAAAAAAAAAAAAAAGAAAAACCAAACCAAACAAAAAACCAAACAAACAAACAAAAACCCCAAACAAAACAAATCTTAGCTCTTTCAATAGCACAAAGTCCGTTTGCAATCTGGATACAGCAGCAAAGGGTAAAGTATGCCTGAGTAAACTTAAATCCAGCATAAGGTGCTGTGGCTGGAACTCGGGGAATGCCAGGCCCGTTGGCCAGGGAGGTAGGGCCAGGTTTGCTGGCGCGGGGTCCCTGCCCGCAGCCCGGGCAGCTGTGCGGGGCAGGGCTGGCGCTGCTCCTTGGGGCACACCGTGCTTTATTTCAGTGCTGGAGCAGACAGTTATCTAACACACCCACATGAGGAAGTGCTCTGGAGCAGTTATTTCATGCCTTGCCATGCCCTGTAGCTAGAGCAATTTTGGGCTGAATGGCGTGTGTATGTGCCGCTCTCACTCCTGGGAGACGAGAAGCAGTGCTGTTGGGGTTTTTGTGTGTATGTTTTTGTGCTGGGGTTTTCTTGTTTTGTTGGTTTTGTTGTTTTTTTTTTTTAACAGGACCAAAGATGGGATATAAGACAGTTAAATCCAAATACCAAACAAATACCAAGTCAAACTACTTTTAATAGTGGAGGATGTTGTTTTTCTCTTAAAGGAGGAAAAAATATCCATCTTGTTTATTTTGATAAAGACAGTTGTAGCAATTTCCTGAGTTGAATATATCATTATTATAAATATTACTCACAGTTTCCCCATTTTCACATTTTCTTCATAGGCCCAGCTTATTCATAAGGGAAAACAGCTGCAGAATATTAAAAAATTGTAATATTATTTATATAAAACTTTGATGTAAATAGGGAATAGTGTCCCCTGCTAGAGAATTCTGTGGGACGGCTTACAAATCCCATATGAGAGAGATTACAGTCTTAGATAAATTGTTACTTAAATTGTTTCAAAAAAACCTTGCTCATTTTTGCAGACCGTATGAGGTTTTAAGCAGAATAATTTGAATAGAAGTTCTGTTTAGAAATTGATGGCATGCTGTGGCCTTATAGATTTCAGTTGGTTTCACTCCAGTCTGTTTTTATAGGACTTCTTTAAACTGCGATCTGTATGGTAAAGAGCTTCTGCTGAAAGAGATTCATAAATGTTAATGGGAATTTAAAGACTGAAATTTAACTTCATGTTACTTATATTTTTTTTAACAAAACTTTTAGAGAATCCAAATCCTTTATAAAAGTTTTTTTTTTTTAAACTGAAACAATGCACTGGAAATAGTTACTGTTAAAGAATAACTTGCTTGCTCTGAAGGGTCTGACATTCACACTGTGGTGCAGAGGGAAAATGATGGCAAATCACAGTGAAACGGACTTCTCTGTTCTGGTTAGTTTGGTCCAAGGAAATTTTAGAAAGTAAACAAACAGTATCAACTGTGAAAAATAACTTGGCTTTTTAACAATTTATCAATGCCAGTTTTCTCTTGGTGAAAAGTAGTGTTTGACCATACACCAAATTTTGAGATACTTTTGTAAGATCTGTACTTTTTTAACTTGAAGAGATTTTTGCAGATGTATTAAACTATCAGTGAGGAGTAAATAAAGGCAAAGGCTTTTGTCCGGGTGGTTTTTCCTTTGATAGTGTTGACTATATTCTTGGTTAGTATTTATTATAAAAGTTAATGTTTAGTTCTAACGGCACGGATCCAACTCTCCTCTAATAGGAGCATTTCAGAATGACTACTGCTGATGTCTTTCATGTTTTCTTACACTTTGGTACTTAATCCTCCAGCACTGTCGAGTGCTATGACGGTATTTTGACCGCCCAGTGCTAGCGAGAGTTGTGTTTGCAGATGGGTCTTGTAAAATGGTCACCAGAGGCACGGGGCCATGTGCCACCTCCTCTTCCATGGCTGCTGGGACAGCCAGGGCTGCCGCTGCCACGGGGCAGGTTGCTACACATCCCTGAGGTTGGCAAGAGCAAGGAAGTTCAGCTTTTACCCCGTGCGGGGAAGACTGTATCTTGAAGTAGATAGAATAAGGGAATGGGAAATTGGGCTAATGGGATAAAGCTGTCTTTAACGAAAAGTAAACACGGTTCTTTCTCACAGCTGGCTGTTGGCTTTGGGGAAATGGGTGTGGAGAGTCCCAGGTTGTTTGAGGGGGCAGATGATCACCTCGCAGAGAAGCAAGCCGCTGGCTGAGTTGGCAGTCGGTGGCGTTACGGGAGGAAAGGCCATGGACTATTCCAGAACAAAGGCTAAAATCCTTTCATGCCAAGAATGGCCTCATCCCATCAGTGACAACCTGCCCCGCCAGCCTCATGGAGGGTGGATTTGCAGCTTGTGCTGTACTTACTGTTCCCAGGCACTGCTGCTCAAGATCTTTGATGGCAGATAGGGACTCTAACACAAACTAGTCCTACCTGATCAAACCCTAGCAGTGTCTGTAGGACTTCCTTCTTCAATAGC